CTCCATTTCCCATCACACTGTTCACAATGCTTTGGACTACTTAGAGGTCACCATACATATTCATTTTCACAATCTCTATTCTCTACCCATATTTCCCCTTCTACCTGAAATGTCTTACCCAGCACATGCAGCACATCCTCACACATAACTTTATCATTAATAAACTCCAATCTGCCTTCCAGAATTTAGTTTAAATTTCTCCTCTCCTATGAAAACTTCCCAGCTTTTCCCCCACCCTGCTAAAGGCAAAACTAATCTCACTAATACTTCTCAACTTTTTGTAAACCTTATCACATAAAATGTATCCCTGGCAGCTGGCACAGTATCTGGCAGATACTTCCAAATCTTCATCCTGCCTGCCCTCCCCAAGGTGGCAACCTACACTTCTAGGTAAAATTATAGAGTAGAAAGATATACTGAATGTGTTTATTCATAGTATTTTGTTTATATATACTTTTCCCTTCTATTGTTAGACAGATATACAAGACTTGCCTTTTAGCTATAGAAGATGTGTCCATTTCTATATTTTTCCATACAATGACTTAAGAAAAAGTAATTATTCCTCCCAAAATGTCTGTCGTCCTAACCTTTTCTTCTCACATTTAGCACCAGAGCAGCTCCTTGAAGTATGGAACAGAGGGAAACAAGTTTATTTTAAGCATTTTTAAAATAATTCTAGGACTGTATTTGTTTTGGAGTATCATTTTACACATTGAATGACACTATTAACTGAAAAAGGATTTATGGGGAAACTGCCCAAGAGACCTAACATGACTCGCCAAAAATAATAGGACTCCTAAGTAGCAGCAGCACTGGAATTCTAATCAAGGTCTTTTGACCTGGCCCTGGCCAATTTGGCCCAGTGGATAGAGTGTCGGCCTGTGGACTGAAATCAATAAAAATAATTTCTTTTTTTTTTTTTTTTAAAAAGTCTTTTGACCTGAATTCAAGTTTATGGTCAGTGATTCTATGCTTTCTTTTCATTTTTATAGCAACTCAACAAATTCCAACTTTCAGGAAATGTAGTAATTGATTGAAGAATATGAGTTTTAGCCTTTTCTGAGACTGGTAGTTACTGTTAAAATTTTTGGCAGGCCTGTGATGTACATACCCTAAAGTTGGTATTGCATTTGGTGTCTGTTGCTAGTATTCTGTCATTTATACATTACTGTGTGCCTATATTCTTTTAAAACTCATAATTACTGACTTTAATGTCTTTTAGATTTAATATTCCTAAGTTGTGCTACAATCCCTATGGGAGCTAGAATAAGTTATTAGAGCCTTGCAAATGTGTTTGCTGCATTCTGTTATTTTTCTCTTTCACTGATGGCCCACAGCTTCAGCTGAGCGGTAGAGAAGCTTAAACCTCTAGGGCCCATTAGATTTAACTTGTTTACTGCATTGATATCTATATGTTAAATGACAAGAGAGTTCAGGTTATTGAATAATTTAAAATTCAGCTCTAATTGGTGTCATGTGACCTAGAAAAGGCCATGGATGACGCCAGGAGCATGCTGTGAATTTCTTATAAATAATTCATAAATTAGATGATTCATTTGCCTGGTTGTGTTGGTAAATGCAAAAGTTTGTAAGTTATAACTGATGATATAACACCTGTAAGTATTTAGTTCATAACACTGGAAGGTAATCTACCTTGATGATCTTCTAGCAAAATCTGCCAGTATCGGAGAGTTAATTGCACTGGGGAGAATGAACATTTATTCAGGATGAGACTTTGGCAAAACATACAGTGCAGCTGTTGCATTACGTAGCTCTGTCAGCTTGATAACTGGTTCATGTAAGCCTGACTTTAAAAAATGCAGCACGTCGTTCAGGCCTTATTTCCCATTAATTCCAAATGTTCTGCAGCCAATGCAATGACCTGCCCCACACACAGTAATTCAGGTTTAGAAATACAGGGTGTCCCAGAAAAGTATATACACACTGTCTGTAGATTTTATTACATTTTGGAAATGAAATGTATTTTAATAAACACTGCCTTTATAGTTATTCAACGTGTGTATACATTTTGGGGGGGGGACACCTGATATTTATTTAGGTCTTGAATTTCTGACCTCTCAAAATGAAGAGCACAGGGGAAATTTTTGAAGTTACAGAATTGAGATTTTCATTCTTATAATGCTATCAGTGGGAGTATGAGGATTGTTAGCAAGGTGCTTGCCATGATAGTAAATTATTATTTGTTGTCAAAGGAATTACCAATAAGAACTATTGGTACTATTGACTAATCCTGTGATTAACAACTCATAAGTACATTGTAAGTAATCACTTCCTCATTGTGCAAAGGAAATAACCTGTCGCAAAAAATAATAACTGCAGTTTAGTTCACATCTCTCCTTTTGGAGAGATTGGCCTGTAAAAATGATTTTCAGAAACTTATAAAACATTACTGCTTACTTGTTGATGGTATTTCACAAAGCAGCACTGCAGTCGTTATTTATAGAGTGCGAGAGCATGGGAAAACCCTGGATTACCATAGGAATAGTATGTGATTTTGTGTGTTCGTGTATATGCTTACACCCCTGCATGTACATGCATATATGTATACAGGGTCATATCATACATGTTTATCAACATCTTTACTTCCATATTCAGTCTATTTAAAAATATGCCATATTTTATAAAGTAGGGGGTGTGCAGGAGGCAGTCGATTGATGTTTCTCTTTCATCGATGTTTCTATCCCTCTTCCGCTTTCTCTCTAAAATCAGTAAAAACATATTTTTTATCTGTGTCCCTGGATTATGCATACATGCATACAAGTTCTTTGGTTGATCTCTTCCCTCCCATCCCCACCTTCTTTCTGAGATTTGACAGTCTGTTCCGTGCTTTTATGTCTCTGGATCTATTTTGTGCATCAGTTTACTTTGTTCATTAGATTACACATATGAATGAGATCTGAAAGCCAGTGGGGAGGTTGAGAGGGGGCCTAAAAAAGGGTCAATGGGGAAAATAGTGGACATATATAATACTCTCAACAATAAAGATTTTATAAAACAAAAAATAAATAAAGTAAAGCTAATAATCATGAAAAAACATTTTTAAAAATGCACATATGTAAATAATGTTAAGGAATAAAAGTCAGAATATAAAAGAATACATACATGCTATCTATTGTTATGTTAATCATACATGTATTAGAAAATATGTGATAATGTAAAATAGTTGATTTAACTTTCTGGAACAGTAAAAAATGTATCTGTCCTTTAAAAAATATAATACTGCTATAAAAAGATAGTTTTCCATACAAAATAGCAGGCGATAAATGTTAAATATTTGTGTTGACAGTAAGTGCTACCGAAGTCCACAATAGGAAAGCTTAATGTGGACTAGAGCTTCCTTTTCGATGTAAAGTAAGGTTAATTTTTTTTATGAGGTAGTTTGTCATCAGTTTTACCAAACGCCTCGCTCCTTTTCTGCAGCTGTAATCTGCTCAGTGGCACCTGGGGGTGTACAGGATGGCCTGTCTTCCTGAAGAGAACCAGGTCCCCTCCCCAGATGCCACTCATTCTCATTTTAATAGAATTCCTTTTGAATTGCTTTAGAAACTCAAAATCTTAAGAATCATTGTAATAGCAATCTTTTATCCTAGAATAGGAAACATAGTATTGCTGTATATCTCTGTTATTTGGGCATTTTTTACCAATCAGTTATGATTTTCAACTATTCCTAAGTAAACTGGTGGGATTTTATTCCCCTTCTACTAGGGATTTCAATTATTTGTTCCTTCTGTGTCTCTAGAATAGATGAACATCTCAACTGTTTATGAATTATTTACAAAGAAGTTTTGGTAAACTGAATAATGCCCCACCCGAAATATGTCCATGTCCTAATTCCTGGAACCTGTCAGTGTCATTTTATATGGTGTAAAGTACGTTGTATGAAAAGAGACTTTACAGATGTGATTCCTTTAAAGATCTTGAGATGAGAAAATTGTTCAGGATTACCTGAGTGAACCAAATTTAATCAGAACAGTCATTAGAAGAGGGATACAGAAATCAGATATTCCATGATACAGAACAGTAGTTCTCAAAGTGGGTCCCAGAGCCGCAGCGGCAACAGCAGCACCTGTGACTTCTTACAAATGCAGATTCTTCAGTTCTGTCCTAAACCTCCCGAAAGGGAAACTCTGGGCATGAAAGCCAGGATTGACATTTAACAAGCCCTCCAGGTGATTCTGATATTTGTTAAAGTTTGAGAATCACGATCTACACCAAGTTTTGTTCTCCCTGATAGAACGAGCTTGAGGCTAAAAATGCTGGGAAAGCTCACTGTGCTCGACTGTCAAAGGTAATTTGCAGCTGCTTCCTTTCTGCCTGGGTTTTATCAGACTATAATCACTTGAACAGCTTAATTGAAAAATCACTTATGTTTATAGCTGGAATTAAATGTTTTGTATTTAAATAACCACTTTTGATTAGAATCATATTTTGTTGAAAGTGTTGGTTTTATCTGTGTTCTGTAAAAATACTTATAAAAACTCATCCAATTTCTAGCGGTAACTTACATTCTATTAGTATAAGGTGAAAGGTTTTACATCAAATCTCATGCTGTGTAATGGCCAATCAAAGAGTATTTCAAAGAGTATTTAAGGTGGCTCAATGGATTTCCTGGCTTAGTATTCAAAACTAAACCTTTTAAGATATTAATATTTAATGCTATATTTTTTTGCCTCTTCTCAAAGTTGATTTTATGTAGCCCTCATTATTTGCAACTCCTGAAATCTTGCTTAAGCAGCAAGTAGCAACATTTCTTTTTCTCATCCTTACGGATTTACTGAAATCTCGATTGTTTGAAAGTGGATTTAGCTTTGTGGCACGTGTTACTTTACTAGTAGCTGTGTAAAAACTAGCATTTGTTATTTAAGAAGATAAAATAGCTTTATTTTGGTGAAAATATATAATTAATTTCTGAAAAGCCAAAAGGAATAACTTGTTTCATTGTGCTCCTATTTGACAACTGGTCTTGTGGTTCCTTTTAGGTACTCAATAGGAAGAGCACTCTCCCGTCTTCATCTGTGGAACTGGATGGTTCCTACTTGAGTGTAGCCAAACCACAAACCTACTATCAAACCAAGCAAAGGCCTAAAAACCTGGACTCAGCTTCGGAACCCCTTGTGGAGTTCAGAAATAATTCTTTGAAACCATCAGCCCTTCATTATCCCAAAGAGGATCCTGACATGATGCCATCAGAAAATAGAACACGTGATTATGGATCCCCAGGGAAAAAACTAGCAGATGTAGTCCCTACAGAGAAAGTTCCTTCAGAGGCATTGAAGATGAAGGAATGCCAGCACCTTCAGCCCACTCCATCTAGACTGTGTTGTGCTCATAGACTTCCTGAAAATGCAGATCATGTTCCCGTTAGCCATCCTACAGACACGGCCCCTCAATATTCCAAGACACACCCAGAATCATGCCATTATTGTGGGCGTTCCTGGGCATCTCTGATGCATGGCCAAGAGGTACTGCAGCCCAGTGAAATTGATTTCAAAAAGCAGCTATCAGAAGATAGAAGGCAGCAACTTATGCTTCAAAAAATGGAGCTGGAAATTGAAAAGGAGCGCCTTCAGCATCTGCTGGCCAAGCAGGAGACAAAGCTTCTCCTAAAACAGCAGCAGCTTCATCAGTCTCGCCTGGACTACAATTGGTGAGTCCTACCTGTTCTTTCAGCAACGTCTGTAGCTTGGAGAGCACAGGATAAAATGACTCTGCATTGCTGCAACAAATGTGTAGGAACAGGTTCCTTGGGGTCTTGGCTTTCTCAGGATAAGGACAGATTATGACTAAGTAAATTCCACTATCATCTTTGGAAGACTTGAAAGATTACCTTGTCTTCCAATATGTTAGCTTAGATTACAGGGGTCCTCAAACTACGGCCCGCGGGCCACATGCAAATACAAATATTGTATTTGTTCCCGTTTTGTTTTTTTACTTCAAAATAAGATATGTGCAGTGTGCATAGGAATTTGTTCATAGTTTTTTTTTTTAAACTATAGTCCGGCCCTCCAATGGTCTGAGGGACAGTGAACTGGCCCCCCGTTTAAAAAGTTTGAGGACCCCTGGCTTAGAATATTTACTACTAAGGAGTCCAGTGTAATTTTTGCCAGATTCCAACGACAGTATTTTTTAATGATACCACCATTACACAAAATCCTTCATTGTTTGATGTCATTGTAAAGAACATTAGGCATTAAGTAAAAGCTTGAGATTTCAGGGTGTGGAATCCGATTGTAAAGAAGTATGATTAGCTGTCATCATTCCATATTTATGTCTCTCCACTATAACATCCTATATAATAAAAGGCTAATATGCAAATAGTCCCCTTGGGAGTTCGAACGGGAGACCGGGAGTTCGATTGCTCGCTATAGCGTGCACTGACCACCAGGGGGCGGCACGGAACATGGTGGGAGACCAGTGGCAGTGGTGGGGCGCTGAGAGAGCGAAGGAAGGAGGAGGCGGGGAAGCCAGGAGGCCAGGAGGTAAGAAACCACGCGGTAGTGGTGTGCGGGCAGTGAGGGAAAGAAGAGGCGGGGAGAGGGGGGACCTGATCAGCCCTGATTGCCAGCCAGGCCTAGGGACCATTCCCGCACATGAATTTCATGCACTGGGCCTCTAGTAAAATATAACAAACTAGAGGTCTGGTGCACAAATTTGTGCACAGGTGGGGTCCGGCCGCCTGCCCCAATGGAGGTTGATCAGGGCTGGGCCCGCAGGGGAGAGGGGATGCAGGAGGTTGGCTGCTGGCCCTGCTCCCACTCAGGATGGGGGGACCAGGCTGGCCAGGGGGAGGGGCCATGGGTGGTTGGCCAGCCGGCCCCGCCCCCAATCGGGGTGGGGGGGCTGATCAGGGGCCAGGCCAGCCAGGGGGGGGCTGCGGGAGGTTAGCTGGCCAGCCCCGCCCTCGATTGGGGTGGAGGGCTGATTGGGGGTAGGACCGGCCGTGGGAAGGGGCCGCAGGAGGTTCGGGGGGCGCTGATCAGGGCTCCGATATGGCCAGTTGGCTGCTGCAGTGCATGTCATAGCAACCGGTTGTTTCGGTTGTTCTGTTATTCCAGTTGCTTGGCTTTTATATATATAGATAATGGGACCTTCTAAATTCAATCTTTTCCTGTTCAGTAACCAATTCTTTTAAACTTACCAACATTTAAATTGTTCTTCCCATCTGGCCAGTGTGTCTCAGTAGTTGAGCATTGACTCATGAACCAGGGGGGTCGTGGTTCGATTCCTGGTCAGGGCACATGCCCAGGTTGCGGGCTCATTCCCCAGTGTGCTGCATGCAGGAGGCAGCCGATTGATGATTCTCTCTCATCATTGATGTTTCTATCCCTCTCTCCCTCTTCTTTCCTCTCACTGAAATCAATTAAAACGTATGTATATATATAAAAGCCTAAGTGACTGTTCACGACTAAACGACTGGAACTACCGGCTGACCAATCACTATGACATGCACTGACCACCAGGAGGCTGACACTCAACGCAGGAGCTGCCCCCTGGTGGTCAGTGCGCTGCCACAAGGGGCGTGCTGCGCAGCCAGAAGCCAGGCTCATGACTGGCAAGCGCAACTGCGGCGGCAGGAGCCCCTCCTGACTCTGCAGCAGTGTTACCGAGCAGTGGCGGCATGCGCAGTGGGCATAGATGAGCACGAGCTGCGCAGCGCCCGGCCCCGGCTCAGGCTTCTCCCTGGCTGCCTGCCACTTGGCTCACTTCTACATCCCTCGGGGGATGTCCGACTGCTGGTTTAGATCGGGCCTAAACCGGCAGTTGGACATCCCCTGAGGGGGTCCCAGATTGCAAGAGGGCGCAGGCCAGGCTGAGGGACCCCACCCCTGTGCACAAATCTGTGCACCAGGCCTCTAGTTTAAAAAATAAACAAGTAAATAAACTGTTCTTCCCTTAATAATTCTAACAGTTTTTGGTAAAGTCAAGGTTTCTAAATATAAGATTGTGTCATCTGCAAATAGATAATTTTACTTTTTCCTTTCCAACAGGGATACCTTTTGTTATTCTTGTCTAATTGCTTTGGCTAGTATTTTCAGTGTTATGTTGAATTGAAATGGCAGCTATAGATATGATGGTCAGGGTCATTTTAATTAGTGTTATTAGAATTCCCACTTTAGACTCTGGTGACCAAAATACACTTGCTTAAAAATGGATATGGAAAAGCTTTAAGTTTGTAGAGAAGAGATTTAAAGTGCTCTTAAAACATCTATAATGTTGAGTTTTTAAATTATATTCTAACCAACTCAGCCTTCCCCCACTCCTCTATAAGTAAAAAAAATTTAAATTATTATGAAACTGCTTTGTCTTTATTAATGTGTATTTAGTATTTTTTATAGTTTTTAATTTGAAAATAATTGCTGGATAATATAGCTATAAGAAAATGGTCTTTCAAGGATTAGCATTCAGTTTCTTAGGTTCCACAGGAGAAAACTTTCTCTGAATTTATTTTTACAGGTTAAGAACTCAAGCTGTGTTTAACTCAAAAGAACTGATTGCTGATAACAAGCTTACTAATCCCCGAGAACTCAACCTGGATATGAATGGGAGTGACTCTGGACCAAGGTAAACTCGGGCAGTTGGTCAAGGCAAGAATATGTAGGACATAGATATGAAGGATATGTTTGGTTTATAGTTAAATCTTCATATTGGTGAATCCAGCCTTTTGATCATATGAATAAATACATTCTCATTATAAAATTTTGAATATATATAATGAAGTATAAAGAAGAAAATAAAAATTATTCATATTCCTACCATTCAGAAACAATCTTTTCAGCTCTTTTTCTGTTTTAATCTTTCTTTTATAATTACATATCCTATATTTAGTAATAAGGAGTATGCTTATATAGAATTTTGATTGCTTTTTTCACTACATCATATTTTCTGATGCCATTACATTTTTATGAAAACACAGTAATTTATTCACTCAACAAATATTTATGTGTGACATCTACTATTCAGTATCTATAAGCCTGTTGTTGTATAATACAGGATTTTGCTATTATAAATTATGCTTTGAAGACCCTCTCTGATAATTTAATTTATCTCAACCTATTTCCTTGGTATAGATTCCTTTAAGTGAACTGCTAGCTCAGAGTATATATGAATCTTTTAAGATTCCTTTTTTTAAAAAAATATATTTCTTTATGGATTTCAGAGAGGGAGGGAGAGGGAAAGATAGAAACATCAATGATGAGAGAGAATCGATTGGCTGCCTCCTTTACCCTCCCCTCACCCCCCACTGGGGATCCAGCCCGCAGTCCAGGCATGTGCTCTGACCAGGAATTGAACCAGTGACCTCCTGGTTCACAGGTCGATGCTCAACCACTGAGTCACGCCGGCCGAGCATGAGCTGGGTTTTTATATTATACATTTTGTTTCATATTTCTCCTTTTTTTTAATGAGTTTATTTAAGCCAAACTAATAACAGTGCTGGGAAGCTAGGTCTCAAGTGCTTTTCCATATTCCATTTTATTTTTAATCAAACTTTGCTAAATTTCAAAAGAAAAATATTTTATTATAAAAAGTAGAACATCCAAAAACACATCAAGAAATGACCTGTCATATTTCATTCCTCATTCTATTCCCTATTCTGATTGTCTTTGTTGAATTCATGTTTGTATCCTTCTATACCTTTCTTTATGCCTCTATATATGTACAATATCTATAAATATTTGAGATCAAACTGAACACATTACTTGTTAATCCCCACCCCCATCCCCCACTCAACAGTACTTCATGGTCATCTATCAGATTTTTAGGTGTAGAACTATGGTAAGCAGAATAATTGCCCCCAAAGGTGTCTGTGTCCTAATCCCGGGAACCTCTCAATATGTTACCTTACATGGTAAAGGGACTATTTAGATATAATGAAGGGATTAGACCTTGAGATGGGATATTATCCTGGATTATCTGGGGAGTCTCAGTCTAATCACATGAGTCCTGGAAACTGGGGAGTCTTTTCTTGCTGGGTCAGAGAGATGAGATGGAGAGAGGAAGATTCCAAGCATGAGAATGACTTCACTTGCCATTGCCGGCACTGAAGATGGAGAAGGAGGTCACAAGCCAAGGAGTGCAGGCAGCCTTTAGAAGCTCAGAGCAGTCGTCAGCTGGCAGCCAGCAAGGATATGGGGAGCTCAGTTGTCCAATTGCAAGGAACTGAATTCTGCCAACAACCCGAATGAGCAAGGGAATAGCCTTCAGAAAGGAACATAACCTAGCCAATACCCAGTATTAGCCCATGAGACCTGTGTCAGACTTCTGATCTACAGAAGTATAGAATAATAAATTCGTGTTGCTTAAGCCACTAAACTTGTGATAATTTGTTATAGCAGCAATAGAAAACTAATTCAAATGCTAACTCGTTTCTTATAAATGCATAACAGTCCATGGTTTCTCTGAACACTGTTAACATATCCAGCACTTCCATTGTTGGACATTCAAATTATTTCAAGTTTTTACCACTACACAATGCTATAACAAGCATGACTGTACTTATTCTTGTATTCTGCTACATCTGTTTATTAGGATAAATTCCTCATAATAGAATTGTTACTTCTACATACATATATTTCTATATAATTTATAATTATAAATTACAAGATTCAATACCAATTTTCTTTTGCAAAAAGTTGCAGCAATTCATACTCCCACTTGCAGTTTATGAAAGTTTTCATTACTGCTGTTCAGTAAGTGTAGTGAATGCTTTGGAAGCTAGTGCTTTAGTCTAAGAGATGGACGTGCTTTAAAAATTCAGGTACACTTGGGCATCCATGTCCTACATTCAGATAATTATGACAAAAATAAGATAGAACCATGCACTACTTTCAAACAAGTATTTCCTAATGTGTATTTGATAAAGGCATTTTAAAATGTTAACTGCAGCCCTAGCTGGTTTGGCTCAGTGGATAGAGTGTTAGCCTGTGGACTAAAGGGTCCTGGGTTCGATTCCAGTCAAGGGCACGTGCCCAGGTTGCGGGCTCCATCCCCAGCAGGGAGTGTGCAGGAGATAGCCGCTTAATGATTTCCCTTCATCATTGATGTTTCTCTCTCTCTCTCTCCCCCTCTCCCTTCCTCTCCAAAGTCAATAAAAATATATATATTTAAAAAATGTTTAAATGTTAACTGCATCTAAGTGTTTGAGAATCATTTGCCAGTAGAACTCCCCAGATAAAATTTAATTTTAAGCTAAGTTTTGTTTATTTGGAAATTTAAATTATCTTAGTATTAAAAACATTATGTATTTAAAATATTAAACTGACTCGAGTGAGGCATTAAGAATTTGGAACTAAAATAAATGAGATAACGAGGAAGTAAAAAACATATTTTTTATAATTAACAGCTCATTTTGAGTTAATTATATACAATTACCAAAATCTAATTGCAATTTATTTTCTATTATCTGTGGGAAGAATCACAGGCAAGGGAGCTTACATTGCTGCCTTCCTGCATAAATGCTATAGAATGAGAATGAATAATATGTGAGGCCTTAATGACAAGTAGGAGCAAATAGTGGGGCACAGCTGAGCCAACCATTGGAAGATAATTATCACATGAGAGATGGTAATGACTTAAAAATTCACGAGTAACTCTTATTGCTTATAGGTTCTCTAGTTTGTTTTTTACTTAGTTTGCTTGAGATTTGTTTGTTGGCTATGCAAAGATGACCTTTATTTAAAAACAAAACAAAACAAAACCCGGCTCGCTAAGTACTACAGGAGATGTAAAAAAGCCCCTAGTTCAAGTACTCTAATAGTGGAGTAAGGCACATATATAAATATTGATCATCTATAGACTACAAGGGCTATAAAAGAATACAAATAAACTAAGAAGAGGTTTGTAGAAGAGGTAATATTTGAGATTAAGTCCTAGAATTTTGATAGGTAGGTGTATCAATAGGTGTGTGTATGTGTGTGTTTCAGGTGGGAGAAAATATGAAAGAGTAGACGTAAAGGAAGGAAATCACACAGCATATATGGGGCATGTAGAATAAAGGCTGAACTCCTTGACTGGAATGGTGTTCTGCATGAACTCTGGCTTACCTCATCTCATACCACTCCCCTTCTAAACAGTTAGTGACCCCTACTCCCATTTTACTTAAAATTCTAATTTCTTACCACGGCCTTTATGTTCTCCTATCTTGACTCTGCACTTTTTTCCTTGTATCCTGTGTTCCAACTTCATTTGGTCTTGGTTGTCATTTCAGTTTCTAGTACATGCTGCACCATACCTATAGCTGCCCTTAACACTTTAATCCTGTCCTTCCTTGTGTTAACTTCTTTAGATGAAAGCTTAAACATCATCTCCTGAGTGGATACTTCTCTGATCACCCCATTGTTCCCTGTGTCAGTACTCTTAGGTCCCATATACTACCACCCAATTGTAAACTTCGTGAGTGCAAGGATTATAATTGTCTTGTTACATATGATATGTTATACCATCTATGTTATAAAGATGGTATCTTCAGTAGATAGTAGGTACTCATGAAATATTTGTGGAATGGATTTTTTAAAAATCTTAATTTCCTCATTATAGCATCAACTAAGAAAGGTGACAGAGTAACATCTAGGAGGAGGATGGAGATACTTAGAATAGCCTCAAGGGAAGGTATAATAAGTTACCAAAAGCTGATCAATAAAAAGTATTGCATTCATAATATAGAAATTCCTTAGAATTGATAAGATAAACTACCTCAAATAGGCAACTCTTGGAAGAGTAAATCCAAATAACCAGTACATATATAAAATCATCTTATAAGTAATCCTGGAAAGATGAAAATTAAAAACAACAAAAACATAACATTGAAAAGTCTAGTAATATCACGTGTTAATAAGGGTGTGGAGAAACAGGTACTTTGATACACTGCGATACACTGCTTGTAGGCATGCAAGTTGCTAGAGCTACTTTGGTGGTCAATTTTGGAATATCATTTTACAGTTATTTTTAATTATCATTGATCATTGGCACACCAATTATCTTACATTCTGTACTGTATTCTTACATTCTATACTGAGGCACCTCCATCCTCTACCCTTGTCACAACCACTGGTTTTTAAATGATGGCTAAAACACTGAAGCACAAGACTGCTCAGGGCTCTTCCACACTATTATCTGCATGTGCTGAACTGTGCAGGTTGATAGCGTTCAAATAGGAAAAGACAAACCCACTGCCCCCTTGTATGTGGTGTCCTTCAAATTAGCTGCCACATGAAGAAGCTAATAATTTAGCTTTGGATAATTTTTAATCACATTTGTTGTCTCAGTATATATTAAATTTGTGAGATAAATATTTTCTAAAATAGCAATTCATGGATTTTCAGGATGTTAAATTCTTTAGCTGCATAGCATTTTTCCATGTAGATAAGGCTCAGAGGTAGAGAGCATCATCTATAGAAATTAGAGAAATTTCCTGAAGAATATTGGTGCTACCACTGGTTAAATACAAGGAGTTGGACAATAAATTGTAGATACACTTACACTTTATCTGCTGTACACAAACAGCAAAAAGATTGAATAGTGGTAGTTTTCACCCTTCACTCTATGTACTTACACAAATCTTTGGG